GGGTATGTTGCCTTCTACAGCTAATCTGCTGCTTCTTGCTGCTGCTGCTGCTGCTGCTGCTGCTGCTGCTTGCTGCTGCAGCTGCTGCGCCGGCTGCCTTTTGCTGCTGCTGTTGCTGCTGCTGCTGCCCTTAATTTTGACATGGGAAATGTTCCTGCTGCTGCTGCAGCAGCTGCTGCTGCTGCTGTTGCTGCTGCTGCTCCTACTCTCTATGGCGGCAGCGTGCTGCTATGTATGCCTCACCTGGCTGCTGCTGCTGCTGCTGCTGCTGCTGCTGCTGCTGCTGTTGCTGCTGTTTGTGTTTGTGTGTGCAGCATGTGTCGCTGCAGCTGCTGCTGCTAGGTTTATACCGCCGTCATTTCTTCTATCCTAAGCTGCGTCTCCCTGTCTTCAGTTTGCTGCTGCTGCTGCTGCTGCTGCTGCTGCAGCTGCAGCAGCTGCGCCTTGCTGCCAGGCTGACTGACCCAGACAGCTATACTGCAGCAGCAGCAGACTGCAGCAGCAGCAGCAGCAGCAGCAGCAGTAGCAGCGGCAGGGTAGAAGCAGCAGCAGCAGCAGCAGCAACCTGTACCAGTAAGAGTGCAGCAGCAGCAGCAGCTGCAGCAGCAGAGCATGCAGAAGCTCTATTGAGATTTCGGTCTTCGTTTGCTGCAGCACCAGAAGACTTGCTGCTACAACCTGCTGCTGCTGCTGCTGTCTTCGTTGAGCTGCAGTACGGTGCTGCTGCTGCTGCAGCACTCGCAGCAGCAGCAGCAGCAGCAAGTACCGCTGTTGCTCTCCTTGCACAGGGGTTGCATCAGCAGCAGCAGCAACAGCAGCAGCAGCAGCAGCAAGAGCTGCTGGGGCCCCGGGGGGGCTTCTTGGCGCTAACAGTTGCTGCTGCAGCATCCCGTGAGCGGCCCGCAGCAGCAGCAGCAGCAGCAGCAGCAAAAGCAGCAGCAACAGCAGCAGCAGCAGCAACGAGGAGAAGCCCGGCGCTGCTGCCTTATGTTCCTGCTGCTGCTGCGTTGCTGCTGGCCCCCCCAGCAGCAGATTTAGCAGCAAAGCTGCAGCGGCTGTGGTATAGTATGCATGCACCAGCAGCAGCAGCAGCAACACCGCTGCAGCAGCTGCAGCAGCAGCAGCACCAACAGCAGCAGCAGCAGCAGGAGGAGCAGCAGCAGCAGCAACGGATCTGGCATCTGCTGCTGACTGAGGGGACTGCTGCTGCTGCTGCAGCAGCAAAGCAGCAGCACAGAGTTGCCGATGCGAAGCAGCTGCATGCGCTGTCTCTCTATCACCAGGTACACCCTCATGCTGCTGCTGCTGCTGCTGCTGCTGCTGCTGTTGCTGCTGCTGCTGCTGCTAGCACTGCTGCTGCTGGTACTGCTGCTGTTATTGCTCCTGCTGATGATCCCGCTGCTGCTGCTGCCACTGCTGTTGCTGCTGCTGTTACTGCTGCTACCACTGCTGCTGCTTCTGCTGCTGCTGCTGCTGCTGCTGCTGCAGGATCGCGTTGGTGAGGCTGCTGAAGACAGCAGCAGGCGGTATGAGTGGGAGGCAGCAGGAGACATCTGTCTGCTGCTGCTTGCTGCTGCAGCAGCAGCAGCAGGCTGTACACCGTTGGCAACTGCAGCAGCAGCAGCAGCTACTGCTGTTGCTGCTACTGCTGCAGCAAACTATATACAACGTTCACGCTCACCCCGCTCCCTCCAGCAGCAGTAGCAGCAGCAGCAGCAGCAGAAGCAGCAGCAGATGCAGCAGCAAAAGCAGCAGCAGCAGCAGAAGCAGCAGCAGCAGCAGCAGTAGACAGGAATAAGCTATAGAGAAGTCTCAGTTTAAGCAGATGTGAGGTGGCGGAGCATCAGCAGCTGCTGCTGCTGCCCCTGTTGCTGCTACTGCTGCTGCTGCTGCTGCAGTGCAAGAGAGCAGCTGCAGCAGCAGCACCGCAATCCCGGCAGCAGCTGCAGCAGCAGCAGCAGCAGCAGCAGCAGCAGCAGCAGCAGCAGCAGCATTTTCTCTGTATAAAGAAGTATACAGATTACTTGCTGGGGCTGACATTGCAGCCTGAAACATTCTAT